TTGTATTACGCGCCGAAATTGTACAAAGCAATCGATCATGTGATGAAACAAGAATGTTCGTTCGGTTTATGCGCAATCACCACACCAACACATATATAGCTTCATTTTGCTCTAACAGCAGAGCATCAACACCTTAAACACAAATGTGGTTCAACCATATGTTAGACTGACCCATTTTTGCAACCAAAAAACACACAAACTGCACGAACATTTCATAGTTTATTGGACAGGTTTAACTACTTCTGGAACGGATATTGTTTACAACATGTCTGGTTTAGCAATACTCGTTTGAAAACCAATCAACCGTACCCTCCTTGTTACTCGACTGATAGCTATGAACGGTTGTGCCATTTCTAGGCCTTTTGAATTCCGTTTGCTTACTCAAATGCCATATTTCGTTTTATTATCAACCATCGGTACTATATAAACGACCTCGACATTGGCAGTCTTTCTGGCGAATTTTGCTATCCACTTGCCCTCTGCGAATTCCGCTCCAATGCGTCCATGTACAACTACGTTTCGGTAATCACAGTCACCATAGTTGTGCTTGCATTGAACACAAGTTTATGATCAAGACAAATCGCCTGAAATCATCTCGTCATTTTCGATTGCATGATTACTTTCAGAATTCGTCAAAAGTCTACGACGATTTGCCGTCAGAAAAAGACTAGAATTGTGCTCTTGATTAACAAAATATCTCGTTGGAAGTGGTCAAATCCTTAAGTAAAATAATGTTTCGGGTAGTAGAGTCAAAAAAGGAGTGTGGCAGAAAACGTTGAAGAGAGGAGGGAAAGTATGGCAGACAGATGTCTGAGTGGAAAGGATATCTGATTATGAAGCTTTGGTTAACATTTCAGCACCTTCTATCCTTGGTGAGAGTAGTCATGAGTTTGGGCAGATCACGTCAATGTGACCCCATTGCGATGAATTCATGGATGATTTTGTGAAGCGTAGCTCACTAAACTCTCACACTCGTTTGAAGTCGAATAATTATTTTGTAATCTGGAAGAAAAATGAACAAACAAAACATGAGATTTATTGCTTTTTTTAATCGCAGCAAAAATGAAACATACAGACAAACACAAATGCATTGCGTTCGTGGGCGATATTTTATTTCTTATTTGTCTGATGTCGATTTCATTGGGACATCTTTGTTGTATGGTGCAGGGTTACCTTCATTAGTACTAGAAAAAAAACGGGCCGTTATCACTCACTGCTTTTCGTCCACTGGTTCAATCCGAATAAACGTTATCCTAAATTGAAATGCAATATGGACTTGAATTGTTGGACTATTGGTGAAAACAGTTTTAGGTAGTCCTGTCCCTAAATTGACAACCGCTCCTTGGATTTCTGAGATTCGTGTTGCAACTGCTTTCACAAAGACTTCTTCCAAATGAAATGTGTACCAGCCAGGGTTGCTAGTGGGTAAAGAAACAGCGGCTAGAACACGTATTCATGCAAATCCGTCATAAAGCTTACCAATAGACGAGGTTAAGTAAATCGTTTCCAGGTTTCCAAGTTGAGACATTTAGGTAGTTTTATGGTTGGCAAAAGTTCTGAGTTGCACAAAATCCGCCACGGAACTAGTCCCACGTAAAATTTTCACAACGAGTAGTAAGAAGCCAGTATTTGGAATGAAACAAATTTACTGTACTCTATCCATGAACATCAAGCCCAGAAAAACACGAACACTGATTGGCTGACACATTTAGAACTAATAACCATTTCTTGTAAATGCATTTAACCGGTAGGGAATTAACCATTTCCCAAAGAGTGAAACCCACACTCCAGGAAATCAAGTGTCTGGTGTCTGAAAGTGGCCAGACCTCTCTGACAGAACAATGGGTATATTTCGTGATGTCTGGTGTCTGTGAAAACTAAACCAGCATATTCCAACATTCACCAACTAAATTATTTGGTCCATTCAATCACTTTCAATAAACTAACAACTACTTTTATGGTCTTCTTTCTGCGTCTCGAGATCAGTGAATATCGAATTTTGATTGGTTTGCCAATCGGAATTCAAAATTTACTGATACCAGTTATAGCGATGATTGATTTGCAAGTATTCCGAGTACTGCAAGCTTATTAGATGGTCAGGGACAACGATTCATCTATGTTTGCATCATACACAATGAACCTCGAAGGTTTATTGGTGTTTCCTTTTGGTTGTGTTGGACCGTGTTGTACGCTACTTATTTGGCAGCAATCTATGAGAATTTGTTCAACTTGTTGGTCATGTATCGTTTTAGTTAGTTAGTCATAAAGCTACATACAGAGTACAACAATACAATTATCAAAGAGAACAAAGGAACACCACCCCCGTTGGTTGGCACACGGAGAAACGAGGACAACGAAAGGCAAGATATATAACACCTGATTCAAAATAATCACCAAGTGGTCGCAAGTCGAGCGTTCAGAACCGTTTATTGTATTTTACCTTTGTCGTCTAAATCAGTGCGCTTTATCCTGCTACACACGGCTGAAGCAATGGCGATCAGACGGCTTAACCCCTCACTATACAATTGCCATTGTCTCAGCCATGGTCAGTCGATAGGCAACAGATTGATTCGAGCGCGGTAACTGGAACAACTCCGTAACCGAGGGAAAGCTCAATCAAAATGCTAATGCACGTTGGACTGTTCTGTACATAGTGTGATAAGATCTACCTCGCACTAGATCAGACAATATTGAATAATCTTCCTATATAAATGTAAATAACCAGTTGATCAAGTTATCTAAAAACAGTCTTTGTCGCTCATCGGATTTTATTTTTAATGTCACAGAACAGTAGAAACCCCATCCATAGCAGCTCCAGTAACTGGAAGGACCCCACCAGTCATCGGAGGAACTACATGAATCACATTACTAAACCGACATCGCTTCAAAACCAGGGTCTTCTCTGAATATGTGATCCACTTGGAACACCCACTCAAAGCATCCTCAGTAGTGCCTCAGCCGTGGTTAATACAAGCACTTGTAATACAACTCTGCCCACATCACATCCGTAAGTCTTCTCAAATGTTTCTCCAAATTCAGGGGCTGATTACCCGAAATGGGAGTCTCAACGTTTTGCATGATCAGTGCTGTAGGGTGAAGCTGATAAACCGGCATAACAGAAATTCGACTGCTGATGAACTGCGAGATTTCACATCACTACCACGTGTAATAGAGATTAGCTACGAATGAAATGCGTTTCCATCTAAATTGCAACCAAATGGATAAACGTTTTCTACTAAACTATGATCCCTTTTACAGAGTTCTCTAGAAGAGTGCCGATTATAAGGTATTGTCCCGATCCGATTGAAAACCACTTGGTTTGGCAATAAACGCAACTCGTCGACCTGAGCCCGCACACGCGTGTCCAATGTGATACTAAAATAAGGATGTGGATCGTCCGGGCATTTCAATACAGATAATTGCAACCCATCGAAAATAGGACTCCTTGGATATTTGGGTTGTGGTTGTGTACGCTTCCTTGATTGTGGCGGTCATGGATACACCAAATGGTGGTTTTGACAAACGCACATTGGGCGTTTGAATATATCGATAGTGGGGCTGCCAGATGAAAGCAATATAATCATTGCAAAATTTCACACCATGACGGTCGAACTCGGTGAGAAATATACCCGCTACTAATATCTCACTATTGGTCGAAATGACCTGCAGCTTTTGAACATGATGAAGCAATGACGATGGCAAGCAAAATTGAACTGTAATGTTGAAAACTTCAACACAGATAGTGAGCAGAACAGCCCCTGACATCTCGAGTGTACAGCTGCCTAGCTCAATGGTGTATTTTCGAGGTGTTGTCATCCGAGGAACATTTTAATTATGACGAGATGGGCATTAATTTCTGTCATTCTTACAAGCAACTAGCTCATGGTGAGATCCGTTGGTAACCATAAGTTTGGCGGGTAGAATTTAAGAACAATAGGCATCGGAAAACGAATTTCATGAAGTTTTAACATGTTTACGCACGTGAAAAATGCTGTTTGATGTACATAGCCAGGATAAAAACTTGCAGATTGTATAAAGGATTTGACAGAAAAAGCATGCAAAATTTTCCCATAGGTTAATGTTTCATTTATTTTGTTTTTTTACCAAATAATATACATTTACTAGCCAGCTGAATTTTAGTTTGTCTTATATCCAAAAAGTGTTTTGAGCCGTATTGAAGTAAAACGGCTGGAGATTGTTGTAAAAATATAAAGACAGAGGAAATGTTTCTAATGTGTATGTCATTTACATCACTAGGATTCGGTTTGATATTTCACATATAAATCATTTTCTTGTCGTAATATGATACTGACTCGACAGCACACTACCGGTTAGGCATTTTAAAAAACAGGAATAAGTACGAAACTAGTTTGGAGCTACAGGAGGAGCTTTGTAGCCTATTTGTGAGAGAAAACGATTCAGTATATTTCCGCAGTCTTTTACATTATCCTTTTTTATCAGCAATATTTTAACTTCATACCTGTTCCTCAGAAAAGTAACATAAAAATTATATTTGTTTCATCAGAATTCTTTCACTTTTAAAGCAGAAGAAACAATAACCAGTCACCTAAATAACTCCGTCCGTGAGTGACCTTACTAATACACTATAGACATGGCAGAATCAGTGGATTTATTCATTCAAAATAAGATGGTTTGCTTACATTTACTAGTGGATAATTGGTGCGATAATCAAAATATCCACAACGATCTTGGTGAGATATAGACTGATTCAATGTTAGCGCGTTTAGTTCTTCGGTCAGCAGTGCATTTGTGGCTACCAGACGATGAAACCGCCCAATTTCACGTTCCAGTTCATCTTGCTCTTTTTGATTCAACTGGTCCAGTTCGGTCACTTGCTAAAACAATTTTTATGAGCATAAGCATACCGATAAACTCACAGCTTCCAGCTTTTGTTGAAGTTCTTCAATAATATTATAGTATTTCTGGCTCGATTGCCGTAAGCTTTCATTGATTTCTTTGAACAATGCGTCCCACTTTTTGCTGTTCGTTAAATATATGATCACAAATACAAGTTTATTCTTCGAACAATACAGGCTGCGTTTCTCTTATGTAAGAGACTGTTCAGGTTAAAGGCTGCCTGAAGAATCAAACAGTTCGTACACTATGAAAATGTATGAGAAGTTTAAAGTTTGGATTGATGTGTGAGAAAAAACATGAGAAACAAAGAATCGCCCGAGTTAATTGGATCAGTAATGCATTTTATCGAAAAAATAATGGATAAGATTTGATATGACATTTACAAATAACTGATCAACAAAATATTTACTGGAAGCGTGAATCGCCAGCATTAAACAAATCAATTTAGAGTATTGTTTAAAACAACTTTGCATTCACAAACCGTTAATGGCTAAATAGTTCAAGGATCACTTCTGATTTCAAAAGAATTCCGCGTTTTCAATCCAATAATCCCGAACTTAAAAGAGTCATCAAGCTGATTCCAAGGTAAAAAAGGCTCCATACAGACACACACACACACACAACATAAAATACGTATATTATCTCACCGTAATTCCTTTTCTTCTATTGCTCTGATCTTCAGCTGTTCGCTTATTTCCTCTTCATGTGAACGTAACCGTCGCATAACTTCGGTCAACCCCCGTTCGTGTAAACCCAGGGGATGTGATTTCATAGGGATTTTTATCTTTGCCCGCGTATGTTCTGGATTTTCCACGGATGACCGGGTCCGCAAACCGGTTTCAATTTGTCTAATACTATCAACCGAACGTTGACTGAGCAAGCGTTCCATTTCCTCCCGCCGAACGAACACACGCAGCTTGGAATGAGCAGCAGTTGGACCATATTTCTCGGGCATTTGTTCAGCGACTGCAGCGGGACCACCATCGAAAACAAGTTTGGTGAATTCTTCCGATGCTTGTATCCCCTGGACCTGAGTTGATCAGTTGAATCACGCTTGTGAACGCGACACAATTTAAATATACTGGGAATTCTGATATAAATGATGTGAATTCGAATGCCCAACCTGAAATAGCTCAGTAAGCTAGGCCAGAATCAACTAGAGGAACAATTGAAAACTATCAATCTCGATTTTCAAGTCTAAAAAAATCAGACGAAATCCGATAAATGAGTCCCCAATATTTAGTGAAAAACTTGAACAGACATCATAGAGGACACAAGAAACTAGTGGAATTCTCCTTTCATTTCCTTTTCGAGCATCTCATACCGTCACTGTCCGGATCTTATACGGTTGCAGTCGATAAGAATGTGCGGAGAGATTTCTGCTCGTAGTAAGTGTGTTCGATAACAAAATTCATTTTACAAACAAAAATTATAATATGCCCTTGATTAATTTTATGACGAAAGAATTTGATGTTTAAAATGGGCAACCGATGAACTAATATGATGTGACAGAACAACCTTGATCAGGATATAATATATATTTATCATTTGCGAGGACCAAGGATGACTTGGTATGATTGTAGCTCGGGATGTGGATGTTGGTATTGCTGAGTGCTCTGAGCTGGAAGTGTTGTTGTTCGCAGACGTTTCGTAGCCAAGCTAGGCAACGTCATCAATGCGAATTCGGGGAAGCGATAATCCTGAGTGGTATCGGGCTTACATAGTGCTGTTTAAGGGTTTGGAACCCACGCATGGACGCCGCCCATACTTTTGTATAACGTACGCTCTACCGGCTGAGCTACGAGGCCACACCGATAGCACTGCTCTTTTTTCATTCGAATCACCCATCCAACTTACAGAGGCATATGGCATCCAACAGTTAGCATGTAGCTGACTGCCACGACATATTTTCCCTTCGAATTCAACGGAGCGTGTGCAGTACAAATGCGTGGGTTCCAATCCCACTGAGGCAACTGATTTTTCCACAATCTGCAAAAACAACAACGTGAACTGCACTTTATGTCAAATATGAAAGTGTCAACGGTGGCAGGTTTTGCCGGAATATCCTTGAAATCTGTACTGCAGTGGTACAAGTATTTGCGTACGGTAGAGAACCACCAAAATTTGTAGCACTAACAAAAGGATTGGTAAACCAGGCAATGTCGTGGAGATCGATGGGACAGTAATTTGCAATAAGGAAATACCATCGAGTTAGACAGGAGAGAAAGCTCCCTGGTCCCAAGCATCTTGGACTGACAGGCACTAAAGGCATAATTCACACACCTAACAGACACGCTGAAAAATACCATACCACTATAAACCAGGTTGTCAGTTATGTGAACAGTAACTGGTTTAAATCAACCACCGTGAACTACGAGTACTTCAGGCATGAAATCAGTTGCCACCTTATTCAATATAAGCCTTATTTTTTGTGGGTTTCGTTGCTTATTTCTCAAAAACGTTTAAAGGGCGCCTACCAAATCAGCATCCGAACTGACCACATTTTCTTACAAGTTGTCAATCTCCATGATAGCAAGAACACATGATTATGTTTGCATTATTATTGGTGATTTTATTTCACCTGATATTAGTTTTCCCATTACGTTGGTTTCCAAAATTTACTGTATTCTCCTACTGGTCTTGATGCGCAACCAGACTTTGTTTTTATAGACGGATGGCAATTTTTCAAAATCTAGAAACGTGCGCCTCTAAGCCGTTCTGATCATTGTAATTTGAAAGTGTATGATTGAATGCGGTAAGACTAACCGTGAAGTATATTAAAATGACCATCGAAGACAATGAATTAAAGGAACTGCTCATCAGGGAACCCAGAACGGCTAAGATCATTGATTTTCACAACCGATTTCTCAGTGCTTTCAGATCAAAACCTATCTGTCCTTTGCTAATTTGTTGCTAAATTTCCTCATTATTGGCTTATTAGTGTTTCTCGCTTGAGACTGCCTTTATCAATAGGGATTTATATTCATCACGGTCACTTGAATAGTTACATTGGAGGAAAGAATAGGCCTATAACCGTGAACAGAGAACCTACGTCAAAAAGCTTACAAGGTTGATCCAATCTGAAATTAATAATTTAGGTAAATTTTACACAGATACCATCCCGGAGAACCGCAGTTGTCGTAGCCTGTGGAGAGCTATAGAAAGGTCTCTGTGGCAGTATCAAACACAAAAGGAAACTGCTGATATCATGATTTTCTAAATTTGCACCCACAAATATCATTTAAATTGCTGAAAATTCACCTATCCTTATGCTTAACGCTGCTACTACTAACTTTGTATTCAAAAAAACAGTGAACCAATCGAAATAATCCGTCGAGCCAATAACCGGAATACATACCAGCTCAGCAGGTCATTAGAGTAAAATCAAGCGTAGAGTGACTGAAGTAACCGAAATAGTACGCAAAATGAAGTTGGATCATTTAGATAAAATACAAAACTAATGTACAGAAACGCCATGCCAAAACCTGCAAACCTTCCTTAACTGCCTTCGACAAACATTACCTGGTGTCATAGACAAGTTAACCTATTATAACCACCAATTTCATGCCAGGAAACGCATGAGACCCAACACGGAAAATTTTACCGATCGTATATTTTCTTCCGACACAAGGCGTAGATAAATCCTTTTGTGTTCATGCTACTCATGAGTAGCCCAACAACACAAACCAAAATATTCTATTTGGGCTGCCAAAAGCGCAGGTGTAGCTAGGTCATACAGGTCAAGAAATTGCTTTATTACACCATCTAGTTTACATTCCGCTGCCAAGGGCCCCATGGATGATGAAAAGATGCATGAAAACACGAATTGTAAGGAGATAACTGAAAGCTGTGGGTAAATCCGGGAAAATACGATCTATGTGATATAAAAGCTCGTAAGATGAAGAACTACCGAAGTGTTGCACGCTTTTGTCCGCGCTTGAACGTATTTTTACTTGTAGCGAATAGGGGATATTAAAATACATTTGGATGGTGTATATTAAAGAGTGTGACAGGAGCCAGACAGTGTTTTGTGGACCAGTTTATCACAAACTTTTTCGTGTCAGGAGACAAGGTGATGTCCTATGTGGGTTCTGGCTAGTCCACAGCGCAGATCTTCGTCGTGTATAAAGAAAATTAAGCGTGAACTGAAAAGGTAGAAAGCAGTTTACAGCTGATTGACCTGGTTGGGTCTTTTCAGCAGTGCTGTCAGATAGTGATGAAATGAGCCAGGTGCGATGCCCGCAACAAGCTCGCACAGATGAGTTGTACTATATCATGTAAATGGAAACTGAAAAANAAATGGTACGATCACCTGCCTGGTAACCGAGTGGGTTTGTTTGCCTACTGCTTGTGAGGTCCCGGTTTCTATCCTCAGTTGGGTCGATGAATTTGAGCTGATGATGAGACCCAACTAGGTCGAAACAACTGTACAGTGAGTGCTTCCTAGCTTTTCAGTTGCCACTTCATTTTCTTTATAAACCACGAATTCTTTCTACGAACTTGAATCAAATCCTCCACTGCTTCCATGATCTGGGTATCCCACATAGATCCTTTTGTAATAAAACAGGAAAAAGCACTGAGAAAACATAGAGCCAGTGTGGTACGTTTCAGGCGTCTAAAACTTTTGTATCAGATGGGAGGGAGTGGATAAGCGCCTTGAACGTACGGCAAAAACCAAAGCCTTCTGGCTTTTGCAAAGACATTGTTGATGTGCTACGACCAAGACAGAATAGTTAAGAATAGCAACCAAGAATTTGACTTCTTCCCAGACTGAGGGATTGATCGATAGTGAAAAGAGGCTGGCACATCTCAAGCGTATTAGAGTATGATTCCCCCCTACATAGAGACAATAAAACATCAACGTACTAAGATGGGTTCATGGAAGTGTTTTGAAATATTAAGCTGGATACTGGGGAGAACATAGTCTTCAAATTAAACGTCACCAGAGCATGCGATCAGAGAGGAGTCATTTCAAACATGCATAGGAGAAGAGAGGAGAAAACATGGCTCCTTGAAGAACCCCTGATTCGGAAGTGAAAGCTGATGAAACTTTGCCATCGTAGCGTGCAAATTGTTTCGAAGGGAAAAGTAAAGCCACAGACGGCAGACTCTAGTGTTTGGCAAGAATAGATAAAAGCTGAACCCTGTTCACACATCCATATGCGTCGCTACAGTCTAGAAGGGACATTTTTAAAGCTTTACATTTATTATCAAGCTGGGATAGAATAAAACGCCTTAGAAAATCTGGAACTTCAACGGGAGACCGTTTACTACAATAAGCAAGCTGCTTACAATCAGCTAAATTTAACTGTGGGGCCAGTCGCGTAAAATTGTTTTCTCCAATACGGGTGGTTGAATTTAAAGATAAAGGATGAGAATTAGTAGATTCTTTCTCGGGAATTGGCGCCATTCTGGCTGTTCTCTAGCAGAGATTAAAGATTTTGGACAGGATAGGTGACAGGGAACTGGCACATTCTTTAAGCACAATTGACTGCTATCCATCTGGTTCACCAGTTTATATCTTCCATTTTCACGAACGGAGAGTTCCCCTGAACAAAAGAACCGCAAACCTATTTAAGCATTTGTCAGGATTCTCGATGGCCTTTTTTGAAATAATGTGTTGTGCACAACCAAAATGCAGAGGAGGAATTTCAGTCCTAACGAACTGTGATAGGGTAGTCATCAAATGAGAGTCCTTAGATTGAAACACACTTTCCTCTTTCGGTGTAGTTATTTCAGAAGGGCAGAACACAAGCCATTTTATCGGCTGTAGAGTGTTTCCCATGGACATAAAAAAAATTGAAAAAGAAGTAGAGATGGTCAGTGAAGTGAAGGTAGAAGGTAGATACATCAAGGTTGGAAAGTACGAAAAAATATTTCACAGAAACCATGACCCTGAGTCTCGTAATATTTTTGTCTCCATTGAAGCTTACGGTCTCAGATACGGGTAAAAACTATTTGGTTAAACGAACCAAACACCTTGGTAGGATCCCGTAAGAGAACGACAGGAAATTGAAAAAACTTCGGGGTGTTTTTTACAAACATAAATCAGGAGTAGCATTCATCCTGGTGTGGAGTCACAGGATTATTCAAATTTAACATAGTTAAAAATGGGGTATCAAAGTGGTTACAATCACTACACGCCGTGAAAAGAGAAACACCTCTATGATCCAAGAGAGAAACAGAATAAGCATTTTGAAAATTAGGGAAATTATCGTTAGGGGCCGGTAGGGGAGATGTATAAGGTTGAGAGAATAACTGAACGATAATTGATTAGGTATGTGGACTTGCAGTCAAGTATGCATGTGGAGGGTAGATTGAGGAAAAAGACTCGTGGAGTTGCTGCACTAGGTATTCATAATGTCTGTGATAGTACCTATTCCATGCCCTTGACGTGGGACGGAACGATTAACGTGGTAGGCCGTAAACCCATGAACTTGGACCACCTGGTCATCTATTTCCCACTTGTCCCAAGTATCAATGGAGTTGAAGTGAAATCAGAAGTCGGTCAATGGAAATAAGGAATTTGGTAAGTGCCGACTGAGCTCAAATGAGAGCTGACGTAGAAGTCAGGTGATCACAAATAGCTAACTATTAGTAGACAATTTCCTAGGTTAAGTTGATACGATAATTTGAGAAAACAATGGTAAGCATTGAGCGAAAGGGAAGTCATTTACTCGTTGGCGCATCAAATGCACTCCAGTCAACCAACGTTCGCGATATTGTTGGTGAATTTTCGTGTAAATCTTGATCCACCCACGAGTGGCGTTCAACCAACATTTGTTTTGCCTGATTTCTGCTTGAACGTTTTGGAGTGACTTCTCCAGGTCCTGAAGCAAGGGAATAAAAACGATCACAAGAAAGTTATCTAA